CACCTCAAGGAGACATGATCCTAGGACAAGAAAAACTTGCTTATAATTTTTTACTATCCTTCTATCATCCTTTTCCCTGATTCACTACCATTGTTCTAGGCTCACGTGTTTGCATTTCTGCATCGGTCCTGTCTATTGATTCTCATGTAGAACTTGAACTATAATTCCACAAAAGCCAGCACCAACAGATGGGGTCTTCCAAAGACATATAAAGCTTCCAGAGGGGTGCAAAACAAAGGCGTTGGCTGGTCCTCCTTTTAACGTGTTAATTTATGATCCAAAACCACATACAGAAAAGCAAGCTATAAAGTCCCACTCTACAGAAAGGAAGGCCAGCATTCCATGACACAGGCAACAGGGATTTATCTCAAACTATGAGTCCACTGGCTGCTTTCTAATCATTGTCAGAAAGAAGGGCCACTGCCATACCTGCCATCCTGGAAACAACATCTTCATTTCCCTAAATTACAACTGGCTGATTTGAAAAGTTACCAATTTCAGTAACTTAGCGAAACTCCTCAGCATATCTCAGAAGCTACAGCAGGAAGTAGCATTGCTAAACAGTAGACCTGCTGTAGCTGTCTTCTAGAGACTCTTTTGGCCATGGTGTGCCTGTTTCATTTGCTTTGGAAATTCTCAGGCTAAGTCACCCCAGCCTTATTATAGGAGGCAGAACAATGGCGAGAGTGCCAGCCAGTCCTCCAGCACTGGGACACATCTGAAGAAACATCTCATGAGAAACTGGCCACTGCCTTGGCCTGTCTTGGATGGTGGCTGCGATCATCCCTGGGATGGCAGGTGTCTTGATAGATGCCTTCTTTTTGTAGAAAGATGTTAACCTATGCAATGGTTAATTTTATGAGTCAACTTGACTCTAACAGAGTACCCAAATTAAACATTATGTCTGGGTGTGTCTGTGAGGGTGTCTGGATGAGATGAGCATTTGAATCAGTGGACTCAGTAAAGTACATGGCCCTCCCCAGCATGGATGGACACCATCCAACCTCTGGAAGAATAGAACAGAAAAGCAGGGGAAGAAGAGTTTGCCCCTTTTGCTTCCTCCCTGGTTGCCTGAGTTGGAATAATGGTCTTCTCCTGAACTTGGACTGGAATTGCACCACTGCCATTCCTGGATCTCCAGCTCGCAGATGGAAGATCATGAGACCTCTCACTTTCCACAGTCACATGAGTCAATTCCTTGTACTAAGTCCTTTCCTTCCACATAGGAAGGACTTATTATATATGGAAGGAAAAGACTTACTATGGATGGAATTGTTTCCATCTATAAGGAAACACTCATTAAAAAATACTATATATACACAAATATATATTAATATATACTTATATAAATATTTTCCTTAATATATTTTATAATATACTTTATATTTTATAAAATGTATAAATATTTTCTTTAATAAGTGCTATATAAAGATTATACATAAATATATATTTTTACATATATATTTTTTAAATCCATAAATATATTCATTACATACAATTATATATTTTATATATTATATATTATGTTATATAATATATTATTATATATAAGATAACATAATTATATATAATCATGTTATATAATATATAACATACTATTACATATGAAACACACACACACACACACACACACACACACAGCTTCTCTGGAGAACCCTGACTAATACAATCTACTTCCAATTACCCTACTGCACATAAGCCTGGACTTACCTAGCCACACAGGTATTTGTCAGAGAGCACAACATAAACTGTGTACCTCCCCATATTTTCTGAAATGTAGATGAGAGAGACAATATTTAGGGAAGTTTCCTTGGAAAAATCGTTATTGAATCTATTCACTTCCCAGATACATTTCAAGTGCCCCAGGATGGAGACAGATTGGCAGACAGCAGCGGATGCTGCCATATCTTCTTGTCCACTTCATCCCTCTCTCCGCCTTCTCCTCCCCAGACTGCTTTCTCACAGCCATCATAAGAAACAGGCCTGTGAAACTCACTTGTGTGACCTCAGTAAGACTGTGGTGGGGAAGACTGTTCATTGCATCATACAGTGTTTTCTTTACAGGGACTCCTGGGAACAATTCCTGTCTGGCTTCTGTGTGAACAACAGGTAGAATTTTCCTGAGCAATTGCTTTTTTTAAATCTCACAGACATTGTGAACTGTGTATCTGACGAGTTTCCTTTATTCCACTAGTGGTTACAAAGCTGCAGGCTGTGTGTGTGACCCGCCAGTTAGTAACAGGTGTGCAGAAATGCGGTTTTTGCATTATTACCAGCTCTGTGTATTTTTTCCTTCTATCTGGTGTTGCCTCACTTTTAATTTATGATATCTTGTCATGTTTTATGTCCCATTGAAAGCCACCTGGAAGACGTTTTGTGAAATAAGATTTGGTTTACACTGACAAGAAGATAAGACGTGGAAGAGCTCCATGTCATGTGTTTCCATCTGTTTTCTTCAAATATTCAATTATGATCTCCTTTAACATCCTCCCACTGACAGACCCAAGGTTCAGGGCATGCAACTCAGAACTGCCACAATAACAATCAGAAAATAATTAGAAAACCCAAACAAAGTTGTTGAAAATATTGTGATGGCCCTGCCTCATTCTCATGACCCACCTGAGGCAATGCCATTGAAATCACACAGCTTCTTGGCAGCCTAATACATCTGAACACTAATTGTTATGAAAAGAGTAAATAACACTACCGAATACTGACGTGACATGTGGAGGCTTCTTGCGCTCTCCTGTGGTCTGCAAGCAACCTTGGGAAGCAGAAAGAACAGGTATTTCACCCTGCAGTGCTGCTAAGTGGCAAGGATGAACTGTTGGCCCCTAGATGGGCTCTTTACGCCCACGGATTTTCTAACTGCAGGAAATGGCTTAAATTCAAGAAGAGAAGTGACAACATGAACTTCCAGCAAAGTGTGTGGAGAGACAGCTAGGCAAAACAATACATGAAAATATGTTTGGTATCATTAGTCCTCAAAGAAATGTAAATTAAAACTACAATGTGCTCCCATTACACACCTATTCAAATGCTAAAATTAAAAAGACTGACCATACTGAGTGCTGGTGAGGATATGGAGCAACTAGAACTTTCAGAGACTGCTGGTAGGAACGTAAAATGGTACAACCATTTTTTCAAACAGCTCGTTGTTCTTTAAAGTTAAACATATATCTACCAGATGACCCTGCCATTCCACTTCTAATTCACTTTCATACCCAAGAGAAAAGAAAGAACATGTCCGTACAAAGACTCACACATGCATGCTCACAGCAACTTCTTTGTAACAGCCAGAAACTGCCAACAACCCAACAGGTATCCATCAACAGGTAGATGGGTAAACAAATAGTAGCACATCCATTCTATGAAATATTTCTTAGCAAAAAATAATAAATTGTTACACACAACAACATAAGTATGTTGTAGGAAAGAAGATACACACTGCATGCTTCCATTTATATGAAATTCTAGAACATGCAAGCTAATACGTATTGTCAGCAAGCAGATTGGTGGTTGCCTGTGACAGATGGGAGTGGGGAGGTCAGAAGGAAGTGATTATACATGGGAACGGAATTTTGGATGTCATGCTATCTTGATTGTGGTAATACTTTCACACATAAACATATTAAAACTGTATACTTTAAACATCACATCTGAGTTATAACTCAATAAAGCTTTTTAGATTTTTTTTTTTTTTTTGAGAAGGAGTTTTGCTCTGTTGCCCATGCTGGAGTGCACTGGTGCAATCTCAGCTCATTGCAACCTCCACCTCCCAGGTTCAAGTGATTCTCCTGCCTCAGCCTCCCAAGTAGCCGGGATTACAGGCACTCGCCACCACGACCAGCTAATTTTTGTATAGAAATAATTTTTTTAATGTTAAATAACCACAGCCACATGTAGTTAGTGGTTCCTGCACCAAACAGCACAGCTCCCACTTCTGCGCTGCTCCAAAAACTTGCTATTTGTGTTGGTATTAATACAAGTATGCTAATGTTCTAACAAGTTACATTTTAGTTCTGTGTGTCGCCCTCTGTCTCTAACCCCCACTCAAAGAGATCCTTTCTCATCTTTCTTGGAAAGTAGCATGAATTAGCAGAAATAACAGGAAGGCAAATTCAAGCTTAAAACACTTCCCCGATGGACTTTACTAATGGACTTATTTAACCAAAGAACAGACAGATTGCTCATTTTAGTGAAAAATTCCCATAAAGAGCAACTCTCTAATTTTATCCAGATGTACTAGTCAATCACTGGATATCCAAGAACCTTCCAGTTAAGATTACATGACAACCACATATTCAGAACCTAAGATATTCCGTTTGCCTTAGCCCTAGTAATCTACAATTAAAAGACAAAGTTTGTTAGAGGGTAGTTGGAAAAGGCCACAGTTACAAATTCCAGTTATAGAACTTTGAGGTTTTGGTCTCGGTTTCTGCATGTATGAAATGGTTATACCAACGCCCGCCTTGCAGAATTGCAGTTAAGATTTAACAAGATCATAGATGCAGGGCACCATCAAAGGAACAGAAGTACTTTAAAAATATCCCTTTCCCTTACACAGCAAACCCTTCACCACAGCACACACTTTCTTCCCTTATCAAGGGAGAAGGCAGCATTGTTAGCCCAAGCTGCCCCATTTTGTAAACCTCTGCCATTTTGCAAATGCTGGTTGGAGCAGAAAATTCTACTGGGGCTCGGGCCATGAGACACATCCCGCCAGACAAGTCCCAGACTTAACCGCCTGACCCCAGGAAACTCCTTGCTTATCAGCAGCTGACCACACCACCCACCCCATCTCACAAGCCCAGACCTCTCCTACCTGGACCTATAATTACCCCAGTTTGTAAGCAGGGGCTGGATCCAGTGCTAGCTGGTGTCCCCCTCCGCAGGTCTTTGTTCAGTACACTTGTGTTGCCATAGAGCTGCTTCTTTCCATTCCTTCTTTTCCCTTTCTCATCCTAACAAGTCTGAGCAGAGGCTTCTGTCACGCTTACCTGGAGCCAAAGCTTGTCATGCTGAGACCACTTCCCACCAGCAATGCACTGAAATGTGGCATTCTGCCCCACATTCACCTCCACGTTTTGCAGTCGCAGAAAATGAGGTGCTTTTCCTAAGAGAGAAACCAAAGAACACATGAGAATGAGATTCAGCAGCCTGCACCACTTCCCTGTTGGTGGATGGCAGCTCCGGATGGGCACCGGGCAGGGTGGAATTGGGACTGGAGAAGTGGCCCAGCTCAGCAAAGAGTTCATTGATCGCTTATTATGAGTCTGGCACTGTTCGAACTTTACACACAGTATCTCACTGAAACCTCACAAAAATCCATGAAGGGGACAGTATCACCATTTCACAGATCAGAAAGTCAAGGCTCTGAGGGTTTACATCATCATTTGGCACAGACACATATCCAGAGGGTGAGGGAATCAGGATGTGAATTTAGATCTCTGTGTCCTATTACTAGCTGCTATGCAATGTTACTCTGTGAAATTGGCACAAACATGCCTAGAATACACCCAAACTGATCATTCTTCTGGGGCTGGCATTGAACAAAAGGTGAAACTATGACACCGAAAGTTAGAAGAAAAATTGGGGGGCAGGAGGAGTGTAGATATTCATGATAGGTGATGCTTCCCTGTAACCTCAAGAAGTAAAAAAAAAGAAAGCTGTAGTGAAGCACCTTTGGGCCTGATACCTGTACGCTTGGCCTGGGTGAGGATGCTGATGAGGAAGATGATGAGGAAGACAAAGAATGGAAGAGGGAGGAAAAGAGAAGGAAAGCACTAGTAGCTGTCATTCTTAGCACTTGCTATGTGATAAGTACCACATGAAGTGTCTCTCTGCAGTAACTCACCTAACCCAATGCAGTCAGTAGTGTTATTTTCTCTATTTCACAGTGAATGAACTGAGGCACAGAGAACTCTAGAAATGTGCCCAATGTCACAAGACCCCAGAGTCTTACTCTGTGATGGTGATTTCTGAGCATGAGAGGGAGCATTGATTCTAGGGACTGGACATAACAGGGAAAAGGTCTTTCAAATGAAAATCAGAGTGTGTACAAGCAGACACTCTTCGTATTAAGTCTACATTTTATATTGAGTAACCTAGGTCCATCTCTTTCCTTTTTTGTGGAGAAGGGTTCTCACCTACCTGCACTCTACAAATAATAACATAAGTAACAGCTCTCCATTGGCTGATAACTTGTATCTAGAAGGATTGGTTTCCTCACTGAGGCACAATGAAGAATCTCTATGCCATCAATCAAATCAGTGATGAACTGGGACCACCCCCAGAATGGAAACAAATGGAGAGTTAGGAGATGATCAAGGAGGTTTAACAGGAGGCTTTGGCTGTCTTTCTAGAGGGAGTCAAATACACAGAGAGACAAATAGTAACAATAATGTCATTTACTGAGAGCTCCTACAATGCCAGGTACTATGATAAATGCTTTGCATGCCCTATCTAACTTAACTTCATGACGTTCCTATAAAGCAGACACTATTATGATTTCCCCGTTAGGCAGAAATCAAGGCTCAGCAAGTTTAATGTGCTGAAAAAGCTACACAGCACTAGTGAAAGACAGAAACAGAATTGAATCCAGGTCCACTTGAGCCCCAGACTCAGCATTTAACAAGCAGCTATGCTCCCTTGCCTCCTGGGCACTGGGAATGAGGATGTCTCCAGATAGACTCCAGGGTCTGCAGAAGGGGCTCCCAGTCAGGGCTGTGCTGCTGGTTCAGGTTTCTTTCCATGCTCCCAAATATTTTATTAAAAGTGACCCCCTTCCTTGCTATTTTTCCTTGATTTGAACTATTTGGTCTACCTATCTGTGTCAGCACCTATAAAGCTCAGCAAAAGCCAAGAATCTTGGAACAATTAGGCAGACTTCTTGGGAGAGCACTGGGCAGGGTGGAATTGGTGCTTGAGAAGTGGTCTGGCTCAGTGAAGAGTTCATGTATCACTTAGGATGACTCTGATACCGTTTGAAGAACTTGACACGTCGTATCTCACGGAAACCCCTAGAAAAATCCAGGAAGTGGGCAGTATCCCCATTTCCCCAATGTACTTTTGCTCAGGTTTTTAAACTAATGACAGCAGCTCAGATATCCCTCAGGCTACCTTTGAACCACCATGGCTGGCGTGGTGTCAAGGACCCAAGGCCCAGGGAAAACCACTTCTATGGGCTTTTCAGAGTTGAAAATTCCTGCATCTAGTCAACTTGACAAATGCCATGCTGCTTCGATTGTCTGAAATTGTTTCCTTTTGGCTCTCCTGTACAATTTTATAAAGTTATTTTTGGAACTATCAGTTCAAGTCCATTCTTGAAGTGGAAATAAAGTGAACCTTGTAAGTCTGTTCATACCACAGGTTTAAAGGGGGAGTGAACACATCCACCCCAGGTGGGAAGGGAGTGCAGAGTCTTAGCTCCAATGCTGGGAAACTCTGTGTTTGGCTTTACGAAGAAACGCTCTTCCCTTACCTTTCGAGAAAATGGTTTAACCTCTGGGATATGTACAATTAGCAATGAATCTTCTCTGGATCAATGTCCCCAGCATGCCTCTGACTCCTCTCCACTTCCTCCTTCTTAGCAACAGACCTTTCACCTTGATTATTTCATCTTCAATTCCTCTTCTTCCCTTCCTTCTAGGTTCAGTGGTAGAGAGTTTAGATGTTTAATGCCTCCTAGTGTGAATATTCTGGGCAAATACTGGCGATTTACCGCAGAGATTATGAACGCATGCACCTACAAGAGCCAGTTATGTAAACTGATAAAGTTGTTCAGCTGTAAAACAGAACAAAAATACCACTTCCTTGCCCCACCTTTTATTTTCCCACTTTGGATAGAGACTTGAGAAAAATAAACATTTATTTATATAAGAAAAGCAATGTTGCAAGCACAATAACAACCCGCATCCACCAGTAGCCTTAGCACTGGGGAGACAATAGCAGTGGTGAGGACTGGAGGGAAATGGAGAGAGACTCTGCGTCCCACTGAAAGGAGGCAGTTCCTACTTAAATTCAGCAGAGGTAGGCCAGGCATGCATGCTTTGTAGAGGGGTGTCAAACATCTGATTTCTCAAGGCCAGTAAGAAATCCAGACTTTACATGAAGTCTCTCACTCTAAACTCAACATGTTATTAAAACACAATACAGGATTAACAAAACATGTGGGCAGGCAGGCTCTATCAATCTGCGGTCTCTGATATGTAGCTCCTATGTAAGTCAACTGCAACAATTTCCACTAGCCAGTCTCACCCGATCCAGCCCCATACGTGCAGGAACGCCCCCACCACTCCATGCAGTACGCTGTGGGCATCACATGAAGGCCAGCCCCAATTGCAGTTCCCAGCACAGGAGCTGATCTAGACCACTCTCTTCTTGCTCAGGACCCTTGTCTCTGCTCCTTGGGGCTCTGGGTCATCCTTGGCTCATGACAGACCGTGCTCTCTGGGGATTGTGCTTATGTGGAGGACCTGTTTGGTCCTCTTCCCTGTGTTCCTGGCCTCTCTGACCCTCCTTCTTCCATGCCCTCACACAGCCTGCCCATCAGCCACAGGCTCTCCCAACTGTCGCCTTCCCCCAGCATCTGCTGCTCTGGGAGAGAACTTATACTCCACAAGCTTCAACTCACTCACCTTCAGCCAAACACGGTTGACCTTTGTACCCAGGTCAGCCATCAGCTCGTGGTTCTAAGCATTTCCTACTCACTCCGCACTAAGACCCAATTCTGCCCAGATTGGGTGCCACTGAATGGGCTTAACAGAAGACTGGCTGTGCATTTGGGGCAAAAACGCCTTGACGTTGGTGACATTTAGACTCCTGCAGATGTCAGTGCAGCATCTGAAGACATATTATTGTGCCCTTTATCTTGCTCTTTAAACCTGCCAGTGCTCAGTAGGAAGTCACACAATTGTGGAGAAAGCCCAGTACACACATTAGAAACATGCCACAGACACTCTGTGGGCTCAGGGACATGCCCCCACAAGATTGTGAGGGGGAAAGAAAAGTCAACTTAGAAGCTAGAAACTTTGAAACAGACTGGAAAAATCATACTGATATTTATGGCACACAGTTATAACTGCCTTGGCCCTGCTAATGGCTAACACTGAGAAACAGCAGCAGAGGGTAACTAAGGCTAGAATACTTTTAGAATAACACAAAAATGTTAAATGGGCTATAAAATATAGATGAGAGGTTTCCACTTGTAAGAGAAAATAATTTCCTTTGAGTATTACGCCTGTCTTTTGCTTACTGTTTTGGGAGCTTGGAGGCGATTATCTACAGTTCTAATTTCAGTGCCAATCAATGGAAGGTACAATTGCAAATCAGTCACTCGCTCCCTGGAACTTTTGGAATATTTAGTGGAATCACTTATTGATAAACTCTGACCATATGTTAATAGAAAATATGTTTTAGAGGACAGAAGGGGAGAATTAAAAAGACTTTATGTCCACAGGCTTTTTTGAATTGAATGCATATATTTCAATATAGTTAAATTTTTAACCATCTACGAGCGAAGTCATAAATTCTAAGACTGGAGGTTGGGGAAAAGCACCATTAGTCTAAAGGGGAGTTCAGAAGCTACTATCCAGTTGCATAACAGGTAATCCCTGAAAGCAGCCCCTGGGGCCCATAGCTGGCTCCTCACAAGGCAGCCTGCTCAGTTCTTCCCCGGCTCGCACCACCTTGCTTAAGCTAGAAATCTGTGAGTGCGCCATGTCTGAGGCCTGACTCCTAATCCAATTCATCAGATGAGACCAGTCGGCTCTGCCTCCTAAATGGGTCTCTAATCTGTGCACCTCTGGCCACCTCTATGCTCTATGTTTCTTCATTGCCCTGCTTATCATTTGTCATGGTCTGAACTGTGCCTCCCCCAGATTTATCTTTTGATATAAGACCCTAACCCCCAGTGTCTCAAATATATTGAGCAGCAGGGCCTTTGAAGATGTGATGAAATTAAAATGAGCCCTTTAGGAAAGCCCTAATCCAATCCAATCTGACCAGTATTCTCAACAGAGAAGGACATGTGAATGCACAGAGAGACACCAAGGGACTGTGAGTATAGACGAATGACCATGTGAGGCCTCAGCAAGAAGACAGCCACTTGCAAGCAAAGAAAGAGCCTCAGGAGAAACTAGTGCTGCCAACACCTTAATTTTGGACTGCCAGCCTCCAGAACTGTGAGAAAATAAAATACATTTAAGTTGCTTAAGCCATCCAGTCTGAGGGGTTTTGTTATGGCAGCTTTAGCAAACTAACACACTGTCTGTGCATATAATTATATAATCATATTATATAATTATAAATGTATATATTATATATAAATGTAAATTATATAATTATATGATTATATATTTATATATTATAACTTACATTTATATAATACATACTTCTATATCATTCGATATTCTATATCATACTTGTATAATAATTATATAATATATAGATTATAATAATATAATCATATAATTACTTTGTTTTGTTTCAGCCTCCTTCACTTCAACAGAAGTCCATGAAGACAGACAGTCAAATCTGTCTTTCTCACTCCCACAAACCCAGAATGGTGCCTGACATGGAGCTCATGCTCAATAAATACTTGTTGGATGATGAATGGATGTCTCTCAACCACCCTGGTGCAGGCCACCACCGCCTCTTGCATGGCTCCAGAACTTTCTTCCTCTTAGGTTTCCTGACATCTTCTTTATGGTCCTTCAACACAGAGCAGCCCAAGTGACCCTTCTCCAGCAGCACTTCCTGCAGCAGAGCCTCCCTACACTTAGACAAACATTTAAACTACTCACCATGATGCCCAAGGTCCAGTCTTTCCTGCCCAACATTTGCCCTAACCACTTTCTCCTGTGCTCCGTATGCTCAGGACATGCTGGCAGCATCAAGCCAACTCCCTGTGCAAGACCTCTGCAATCGCTGTCACCTCTGTCTGAAGCACCCCTCCCGCAAATCACTAGACTGTGAACTCCTTCCTGTGATTTGAGTCCCAGCTCAGGTCACATTTTCAAAGATATCTCCTCTGACCACTATATCCAAGAATCCCTCCCATATCCCAGACACCCACACTTATTATATCCACAGGACTTTTCACTATCTGAAATTTTGGGTTACTTAATATTACTGATTTAGTGACTTTCTTTCCATTGCCTCTCCTGCTAATCAAACACCATGAGTACAAGGACCTAACCCTTCTTAGTCACTTAAGTATCACCGTGCCTAGGAAAGTTCTTAACACATAGCTGACATATGCGCTTGCTGAAAGAAAGAATAAAAACCTGGGCTAGGTATGGACTGAGCACTGGTCCTTAGGAAAGCGACTTTGCTAGGCCCTACTCAACTCCACATGATTCATGAGCTGTGGATATACCTCAGGCATTATATACACTGCCAGTATTTGTCCATATAGTGAAGTGAATTTTTTCCAATTCCAGCCACTCCTATGGGGTCTTCACATAGTGGTTTCTGGGAAGTTTATGCTTAAGCTGCCTCAACACTGAGACTGAACCCAACAGAAGCACATTATGTGGACATAAAGCCAGGATCATGCCTTTCTGAGTTGTATCCCATGGTCCATTTGCTGGGTAACTGGCTCTCAGCAATTTCATAACCATGCAACCCACACCCCTCTGCAGGAGGAGGGTGAGGTTGTCAGGAGAATTCTAACTTCAGGAGCAGCCCCAGTGAAAGGAGAATTTCAAGAGGACTCATGAGACTTTGGGGGGTGGACAGTCATTCCAGTGCCCTCCAGAGAACCCTCTCCCATGGATATTTATCGAAGAGAATGGTGCATATGCTTGTGACAGCAAACCGTGGTCAGTGCTTGGAGGTAAGGCAGAGCTTTTACCACTTTGGGCTTGAAGGTAGTTACGGCTTGACAGGTAGTTACGGTTTGACAGGTGTCAAGGTTGGGCATCAGGATGGAAGTGAAAACTCCCATTAGAGCACAAAGTTCTGGGATCCAGGTAGCAAGACTCATGCTATTTTCCCCTGGGAAAAGCCAGCTGTCACCCACTAGAAAGACAAAGTCCAAGCATCCAGCACAAGGTAAGAAGCAGGAACACAGGTAGATGTGGCAGAGGCAAGCATGCTCTGAGTGGATGGGATGTAGGCAGGGAATGAGGAAGACAGAAGGCATGTTTCAGAGAGACTACCTTGAAACTGGAGGTGGTGCAAGGTTGAGCGCATGCAATTAAATGGACCACAGGTAGCGTTGACATCTCCCAACACAGTTGCCCAGTCTTAGACCAAAGATCATTCTCCAATGAGCAGCTGATGCTGACTCCCATGAGTCCAGGGTGGCGAGTATTTCACTCTGGGGAAGGAGATTCATATGCCTATCTACTACATAAACCCTGCATAGCTGGGGGGATTTCTGGGATCCTCTTCACAGGAAGTCTGGGTCAACAGAAACATTTCCTCAGGCATGACTGAATGACAGACCCATCTGAGAAATTCTAAAAGACTCAGGAAGTAACCCAGAGGGTAGGGACTCTCAGCCAGTGCAACGAAGAGCCCAGTAGCATATCAGCATTCCTAAGATACCAGTTGCTTCTTGGGAAAGAGGATCTGTCCTGCACAGGACCCAAACAGAGTTTCTCAAAATAACGTTCAGAACTTGTAATGTGTTCCAAATTCCTTCAGAGAAGGGGCTCTAAGACAATGAGTCAGACAATGGCATTCTAGTGGCAGGCAGAGGGAGGGAAGTTACATCTGAGGGTCTGACAAAATCATTGCAGCAGAAATGGAAAGTCATTTCAATTAAAGCAACATGGATGAGGCTGAAATCAGAATAGTCCCTAAATGGGAGGATTGAGAAGCACATAAGGAGAGGAGGACCCATGATGTCTCTGGAGGCAGCAGCAAACTGCACCACAGCCCAAAGCATGACACATGGCCATATGGGAGGAGTGGAGAGAGCCCACAGGGGGTTACCTAGAACTGGATGGCTGCCGAGAAACTACTGGGAATCTCCAATCTGTAGAACACTAACAAACTCGTGGGCCTGGCATCCCAGCTACCCCTCCCAGGGGCTGTCATAATCTCCATGCAAATCAGTTTTATTTCAGTCCCCCCAACCAAATGTCACTGGGTATGATGTCATCTCAACTACCTGTACTCAGGACTTACGGCCTCCGAGATTTAGCAAACCCAGAAACCACATCTCCCTGCTGAAAAACATTCCAATGTCTGAGACTAAATATGGCAAAGAAGTGGATGGGTAGGAAGGAGTGGCACGCCTTTGAGGACTCTTGACGCTGTACCATAAGTACTAACCACTATGAGAAATCTCCCTCTATGCCTACACGGAGCTGATGAGTATATTTAAAATTATTTTAAAAGAATTAATAGCTTCAGGGTACTTTTCTCTGTAAGTGAACAGTGTGCTAATTTGCTCAGTGTTTTGGTGGTGTTCTTTATTTTTTTAAAGACAATTGCACAAGATTCTATCCAAAGCCCTCTAATTCTTCCACTTCAGTGGTCTGAATCCCACTAATAAACAATCAGGACTTTAGACTCCCTTAATAATGGAGAGAGATTCAAATAAAGATGCTTTGCCACTCTCTGCAAATTCCTGGAGGTGCTGCCTGTTGAACAGGCCGGTAAAATTATGGATTTATTCAGGACTGATTGCATTGAGTATGTAAGCATTTCTGAAGGATTAAAAGAAAGAGAGAGAGAGAGACAGAGAGAGATGTTTGTGAGCTGAATGAACGGAGAGGATTGCAGGCTCTATGCTACCCAGTCTGGCACGGATCAAGGCTGTGTTGGGAGGAAGGGACATACTTACTGCACGGATGAGCAAGGACCCGGACCTCGTCCACAGCAATGTAGCCAGGATGACCCTTCAATGAGACGGATTCAAATATCACCTGCAACACACAGGGCGGTAGTCAATTTCACAGAAACGGTTGTAGGCATTCATCATAGGAAGCTGCCCGGCCCCCAGCCCTTTATATTTCAACTTCCCATCAGAAGCTACCCAAGAAACCTTCTATTAAGACAGCACGCTACCCTGGCAATTGACTGGGATTTTCAACACAAGGCAAAAAGGCCACACTTTGGTAGCTAGCAAAGGAAGAGCCAGTTGCATGGAATATTTTTAATGAATTTCAGAAATAACACTTAGATGCAGGAAAAACAACCCAAACACCAAGGTCTTGGAAACCCCAATCTGTATCTTTTTCATTGCAGCTTCAAGGGTCAAGCCACAACTTGACCATCCTTCTACAGGCAACTACTTTCTAATATCCCAACTTTCTTATAAAGGATAAGAGAGATGCCTACTTTGGAAGTTACCATAAGCCAAGGAGGGTTTACCATGAGTTGATTCTACATTGCCAAGGAACGTATTACATTTGAATTTATAATAACACTCTTAAAAATAAGTGGCAATCTACCTCTTGGTATCCAGGAGTAGAAGGCAACTGACTTCCACCTACACTGCTATTTCCATAAAAATTTTGTAATGTATTTAGCTTCCCTCATCACTCAACCCATATCTTCACCAAGTAGATATCAATGTCTGTGTGGGTAGCACGACCAACATCCTTGACCTCTCTAGTTCCAATGGCCTTCTCCAATCCACTTTAGCCCTACTTTCACCTCATTTTTCACCTTCTGGAAATTGGAAATTTCACTTTCCCATACTCCAGCACAATCTCTACCCACAGTCTTCTCCCAGTTGACTCCTCTTGACCTGCTCCTCAGGCACATATGGTAGCCTGGACCTCTGCTTTTCTTATCTAATCCTTGGCTTATTAATGCAGAAGGCCCAGGCTACCATGTGAGCTCCTCAGACTCCATACGAGTCTCTCCTAAAGCACCCATTCCTTTGCACCTTTATTTCAACTTTGCCAAGCCTACAACACAACTGCTTTCTGCAATCCTGTACCTTACACAACTGCTGCCCTTTCAACATGCACCCATGTAATCCCAGCAGACACCCACATCTTCAAGAGGCAAGAGGGAAAGAGAGGGACTGACTTCTAACTTTTTACCCATTGACTTGATATCCAACCACATCATTCCCTGCCTCTTCTTTGCAAGGAACACCAGTGCTCTTGACCCGGACTCTTGCTACATTTTCCAGCTTTTGGATTCTTTTTGGTTTTCTCTGTCTATCCTATATCTTCAAATCCTCCCTTTCATCCCTAATTCTGACATGTCAACAGCTTCTCCTATTCTTTAAAAACTACCCTTTAGCAGTAGGTTTTCTGTAATACCATCCAGTTGTGTTTCAGTAACACTTACAATTCTCAGTAGTTTTATCTTCATTCACTCCCAACATTCCCTGACTCTCCATTGCAAAATTTCAACCTAATATGATCTGGATTCCATGTTCCACACTTCCCCTAAAACTGCTTACACAGAAGATACTAAAAATCTTCTAATTGCTAAATCCCGTAGACATTTTCAGTCTTTATCTTACTTTAAGAAGGATGATAGTGCAGTGCTTAAACTCTGGTTCCAAGTACCTAGGTTCAAGTCCTGGCTGTGCCACTTGCTAGTTAGTGGTCTTGGGAAAGTTACGTTACTGCTCTGTGCCTCATTTTCTGCATCTTTAATTACAGTGTCTACCTCATTGGGTGACTTTTTAGATTAAGGGAGTTAACACCCCACTTAAAACAATGTATGGCACATGGTACATTCTCAAGAAATATTTACTAGAATTATTGTCACAACTTGACCATTCTTCTACAACTGTCAGTGTTCATGGACTCTCCATTTCTGGGTCTGTTTTCTATTTAGGCTCAGATAACACTTAATTCTTATGATTTTTCTCATGAATCTGGCCCTGTTCTACCATAGGTCTGTAGGCATTGCTCCTTCTCCATCTGCCTTCTAACGTGGGCTCCCATTAGTCATCTTTTCACTGCATACGCTGTCCCTTCAACAGCTGCCAATGCACTGATAACTCCCAAGCCCAGCTCTGCACCCTAGATCTTTCACTCACACATCCATCTTACGTATCCAGTTCACAGATCCGTGTTTCTACCTAGGTAACACATCAATGACGTGAATGCAGCAGATTCCGCACAGCTTCCTCCTCAAACCTTTTCCCTCATTGACCAATGGGCCATTCTTTCTGAAATATGGAATATGGTAAGTGGCACTATGACCCATTCAGTCACCCAAGCTGGAGACCAGGGTGGGCCTCTCCTTCTGCCTCAGCCTTCATCTCCATTTTCCTTTTTATTCTACCTTATTAGCATTTCTCAAATCTTCCCATGTCATATATCTCTGCTATTAGGATGAACCACTGGAAGCAGGCATTTTTTTTGAGGTAAAAAACCAGCCAGACATCAGAACCACTGCTCTTGTTCAAAGTCTCTTCAGTTTTCATCTCCAACACCTGACAGCCTCTAAAAAGGACCCTCCCTCTCCTGTGTTTTACTCCTCAGTTCAAGTCAATGGATAGAATACAAGGTAGACGATGAGACCAACAGGAAAACCTCCCTGTGAAATCTTTTTGTGGCCTACGTGGTCACTCCAGGTCACTGGATTCAAAGACTAGTGTTCTCACCAGGGCCTGGAACTCCAACAGCTGTAACAAAAGAACTGTGGAGAACCAATGGGAACCACTGGAGATCATGGTGATGGCTGAAAAGAGGCAGCTTCCTTAGGTGATAGGATCTGTTGTGAAACAGCATGTGGCTGCCTGGGAGTTAGGTGAAGTGCCTTGGGGATGATAGTCACACCATAGAGCTGTTGCTCCAGCATGACGGCCACTCTGGAAGAATAGTTTACTAAGATAGCAGGGTCCTTCAGAGAGACTCAACAAACAAAATTATTCAAGAGGTAGAGGAAAGTTTGCAAAAGTAACGTGCTAGCCACCTCATCTTGCAGAGGGAAAAGTAAACAGAAAGCCTTCCTGTAAATAATCATGTGTCTAATTATATTTTTTAATAATTCGAAGGAAACCAAAAGCAAAGTTCATAGAAAAAAAAGCAAATAGAACATACACAGTAAATGCATTTAAAAGAAATAGCACAAAAGCATTCAAACTGTGTAATAAAAATGACAAAATAAAGAAAAAATGTTTCTGTTGTGACAATAAATATAAATGGGTTAAAATACAGAAAAGCTCTCAGACTGTCTAAATAAACAAAGTCTAATTGTATGCTCTAAGATGAACACCTAAAACAGAATGACTCAATAACATTAAAAAGAACAAGTTGAACAAAGACATAATAAAGAAATGCAAATAAACAGAAAGCAATTCTTGCAGAAATAATGTGAAAGCCTCAAAGTAGAATTTTAGCTGAAAATAACAATGAAAAAATTAGGTGGATTAAATAGTCATTTAGAAAAAACACATTAGTCAAGAGACTTAAGTGGAGAAAATGATGTAAAAGACATGGGTTGAAGACTTTAACCTATGTCTTAGACTTTGACTAATCATATAGGAAAAAGCAAGTATATATAACATAAATAATAATGTATTTCCTAGATATACGTTAATAAATATAAAGACAGAATGAAACTTCTATTCAAATGCTATGGCTCAGTTGCAAAAAAAATCATATAGTAGGCTACAATATAACTTCAATAAATCCCTCGAAGAAGAAATTGTTTAGTTTTGGGCCTATACATTTTCTAACCAAATGAACTAAAACTAGAAATTAGTGACAACGTCTTAAAAACCAACTTATTTAAAGTTACACAATGCTTTCTTAATAACTATGGTGTCAAGTGTGCTTTGCATGTTAGCAAAAATCTAAAACAAAATTAAAAGTCAAATGACAGGCTGAGAATAATATTTGTAACACCTGTGTCAGCTAATATGAAAATATTCTTTTTTGTGTGCAAAGGACTCTTGAGAATCAACAGAAAAATAAATAAACCATTCCAATTAAAAAGTGGCCAATGACTTCAACAGGTAATTCACAAAAAGGGGAAGTAAAAATGGTAATAATCTATGAATGTAATTGTGTAAAATGACACTGAGGATGATCAGAAGGTGCCCCAGAAGACACCTACAACCTTGGAAGGAGATGATCACTCCATCAATATGCTTCTGATGTAAAGCTCCTAGCCACAGGAAGTCCCGCCCAGTAGATAGCCAGCTCCAGTTCCCAGGGACAGACACCACAAGGAGACAAGGTGACTCCAGGACCCTCGGAGATGGAAAGACCTGCCAAGGTGTCCTGAGGAGAGGGAGAATGGTTATCTCTGACCCAAGCACACTCTCAGGAAAATTCAACCAAGGCCCTCGAGGAATGAAAGTCAGGAAATGGGAGAGTCAGGGGAGTGAGTAGAGAAGTCTAGAGGTGACTCTGGTGTAGCGTTTTCCTCCTGTCTTCAAGAGGCAGGGGAGTAGGGATGGGATGGGGAACTCACACAGGCCATGCATACCCAGTGGCACTCCAAGTCAGTATATGGAGGGCGAGACCCTGAGTACAGGGACTAGAGCAGAGGGCCCAGACTGAGAATTCCAACTTCTCTGTAGATGCTCTTCAACTCCGAGGCTGCCATGTGGACCTACCGTCTATTGCACATGCTCCAGCCCATGGGTCTCATTAGAGACCTCCTGGTGCAGGTGTTGAAGAGATGGGGCTTGCATGGAAAGGTGAAAACCTCTCCCTGTGCATGAGGACTTGTGCAAAGCCAGGAAGCAATTCCCCACAAGAGGCTCTGAGATGAGTGATGCGCAACCCCTCCAAAAAGTGGTTTTGGTCACTTGGAGGAGGGTGTGGATTTATCAGGCCATGGTTTAAAAGACCTGGTGCTTTAACTTCATCTCTTATAGTTCTCGAGCAGAAAACTTGAATGGCAAAAATTTCAAGGGGCTGCAAACATCTTCAGGAGAAGAGAAAAATGCTGTCACATCAGAACTCCTCAAATATACATATTATCATGGGGAGAGATT